AAATATATTTATGTTTGTGGTTGTAATGTGACAAAATATGGAAAAGTTCAAGGGGTATGAATACTTTTGCAAACCACTGTACATACAGTGAGCAATTACACGACTCTTTAAAAGGGTCCTTGAGTGTGTGTTTGAAAGCAGGAAATTAAATCAAAGTGTTGAGATTTACCGGTAATGAATTTTGATAAAAGTTCCAATCATTAGCCTCAGCAAAACGAGAAGACATCAGGCCAAAAGAAGACTTGGTTTTAGGGATTTTCAATTTAATATTTAGGCTCATGCTTAGTTTGCTTGTGTCTTGTTTTGTTTTCTGAAGTGTTTCTCATCACTGAGGCTTCAGTGGTCTCAATAACTACCAAAATGAAAGAATAAAATTTACAAGTGCTGAGCCTTTCATACAATCCTGGTTGTTTAGGTTGGATGCAGTTATCAAAACTATGTGGCGGTCTTTACCCAGAGAAGAGAAGATGCAAAGTGTTTCTTATACCACTCTGAGACACTTTAAAAAAAAAGAAAAATAGGTTTATTCCTATTTATCTTACAGACACGTTGATGTGCTGCAGACATATTTGCACTCACTCAGGAGATAAATAAATCAAATTCAAGGAAACAAAGCCTCGAGCCTAAACAGTGATGAGGAGTGTTCGTTTCCTTTAAAATCAGGCCTTCGGCCATGTTTAAATATTCACACAGGCCTTTCATCTTCTCGGCTTGATGGATACTGTAGCTGAGAGAACCAACGTGGTTCACGAGAAACGAACCAAAAAATTGTTCAGCTGATCTTTGAAGAAAATACATGAACTATATGGGTTCAATATTTGTCATGTTACAGACATGCAGCGCTCATCATTAACCTAAGAACTGAACCAGGATCCAGTGAGGGTCTCTAGCTACGTCATCTGCTGATAGATTCTGACAGAGGAGCTGTAATCCATCAACCATTGGATTACATTAGAGTAGCACAATCCCTTAATAAATTACCAACTCTTTGAATCTGTTGTCATGTTTCTAAGCATCATCTGTTTCACATAATAACGCTAGATGATTCAAAGACCACAAATCTTTACTGAAAAGCTGAGATATTCATGTCAGGTTGATGCATTCACCAAACAAAACTATAGCAACATATATGAGTATACTGATTATCATGTTTTGACGGTGCATAATGAGAAGAAAAACAGACATCMTTTTACAATATAAATGACTTAATTTGCTTTCAGTCAGTATAAGTCGGTGCATCATGGTTGTAGCATAACAGCCATGGCAACAGGAGAGAGTCGGTGTTTTCTGTGATGAAATGTCCTTCATCACTTTGTTTCTGTTTTTTTATTGGAGGATTTTCTAACTATAGTCGGATCCTTTCAGAGCCTTACAAAGTGCTGGCAGAGAAAAAAAAACAAGTTCAAAGTAAGGATCAAGCAAATGAAAAGCAGGAAGTGAAAAACAACAGACCCAAGGTTAGTCTGGAGCACGAATCCCCGGCTTGGAATCAGTTTAACAACCTGAGAGATGTCAAGGAATGAAGCACAAATACGTTTTTTAAGTAGACATTTTGATTATTCATACTTTACTGGAGTAATTAGTTTTCAGCCAACTTTTTACTTCTACTCCTGACATTTTCATGCAATTATCAGTACTTTTTATTACTTACTTTTTTGCATTTTTTCCCCCAAATTTATTTTATTTTCATTTTACTTTGGCTTGTCATCATTCAGAAAAAAATCTATCTAGATACATGGCGTCTTCTGGATAGCGTGAATTTAACTGTGGTTTGACGAGAAGTATAAATACGTAACATTCTGACACCCTAATAGTTTGTACGATCCATCACACCTGTACGGCACACGTCACGTCACACAGCAGGACATGTCAGCCGGACGTAGCTGAGGGTGAAGATGACTGAAGCAGAGAAATGCAGCTGAAACATGTAGCTTACTGCAACTTTTTCAACATTAACATTTTACTATATCTTTTAGTCATTATTGCCTTTAGAAAAGTGTTTTTGGCAAGGTGTGGTTGTGTACGATAAGGCCCTGTGGCCTGGCCTAAACTTTTATCCGTAATGGCTTTTTTCCCCCTTTACATTACTTTTACTTTTATACTTTAAGCAGTTTTAAAACCAGTATCTTTACACTTTAATTTGAGTAAAAAGCTTGAGTTGATCCTTCTACTACCAAAAAGTCTTTTTAAACTCTAGTATATTTTACTTAAGTAATGAATGTGAATACTTTTTATACCTCTGATGCCTGCTGTTATTAAAGTATGTTTTCACCTGTTGTAGACAGCTCTGTGAACAACCTCAGTTTAATTCTGATTAAACTGGTGAGTTAATGGTTCGTCTGAGTGGGGCCAAGACTGAAGCAGATTAGCTGTTGTTTTTAAAACATGGCAGTGCAGTTCATGCTATTTTATATCCTTTACATCATCATCAACAGTTATTCTCAGATAAAATATTATTGCAGGAAATGTCCAAAGCTGCAACAAAAGTGCTACAGCTAGCTGCTGCTGCCTCCATTCGTGATTGCATGTGAAATAACCACACGCAAAAAAAATTAAAAACTGCAGCAGATAACGGTTTGTAAAATAGCGTTAGCACAAATTGCTATAATGTTTATGAGATTGGGCACGTTGGACAGCAGCTGTGCACTTTGGTCTTAGCCCTGCTCAGACTAGCCATTAGCTCATCAATCTGATCAGAATTAAACTTTGTTTTCTTAAACAAAGATGTTCAGAGACCTATGTGCAACAGGTAAGATATTAACTCAGTTTAAAAGAGTTGAAATATTTCTTTGCCATTTTGTCACTCTCACAGCAGAAATCAGGGAATCTTTTGACTTGCATGAATGCAATAAGAAATGGCTGATGACGTCTCAGAATTTATTTAAAGCCAATTTTTCCAGTACCTGCATGCTGGGTTTTCTCCAGACCGCCCTGCAGGTGTTTTTCTTCCAGTTTCCTGCTAATAAAAATCTGCAGATTCTGATGGAGCGAGACGTAAATGAAGCCAGTCAACTGACCAACTTCATTTCTGTGTTTCTTCTCCTCCAGGGAGGTGGAGGAGGAGCTGGAGGTGGTGTGGCAGGCGGCGACGCGGGAGAACCAGCAGATGTGTGAAACTCTGCAGGACTCGGAAGGGAGCGGCAACTCTGACCCTGCTCAGGTTTTAGATAAGATCACCAGATCCTCCCAGCATCCGTCCAAGCATGGACTGGATTTTTATTGCTAAAAGACTTTAGGAAAAAGGTACAACCAGCAGCTGTGTTTGTGCTTGCATCATCAGCACCATAGAGGAAGTGATCGTTCTGCTCAGGTTGTCTTTGGTTTTGAAGAGCAACTTGTTTTCTAGAATATCCATCGGTTTTCCTTACTCACTTCATTATGTGGATAACATCAACGTGGATGTGGATGTTCTCTACAACACACTGGGTTGTAGAGAACAAAACAGAGAAAACACAAATAATTAAATTAAACTACTAACTTCCCTTTAAAAAAATACATATCACCTGCCAACTTTCACACCAGTTTTAACGGCTTGTTTTGGCAAAACTTTGAAAACTGCATTATGCAATATTACAACATCTACCACTCAGTTTGTGTTTTGAATGACTCTCAGCCACTACCACATCAGATTTGACCTGTAACATTGACTGAGTCATGACCATTTTTGGGTAATCTAAGATAGATGAGTCATGTCAGCTGTCTTTTACTGGGCTGACTTTAAAAGTTTATCAGGTGTAAGCTTTACCACCATTTTCTGAGAGTTTGATTTGAATCTATCCACTACCAGGAGACACGATGAAATGTTTTGTTAACAGACAGACACTGATAAAAAAGTTATGCCCTGCTTTTTGCCTTAGCTGCAGGTGAAATGATCCATGAGAAAAGATGAGAAGTGAGGTGTATATTTTAACATTTTTAAAAAATAATGACAGAGTGTGACAATTTGCCTAGAAGAACTTGAGAGAAATGTGATGCAGGAGGGAAAATTGTGACGTTCTCTGGAACAACAGAGCTGATAGTGCCACCAACTGGACACGTGTGTGAATGGTTGTCCTTTTTATCAAGCTCAAAGTAAATGAACTAGAATAGGACAAAAACTGAAGCAACATCAATCAAACTGACTGATTTATTCAGATGAAAGGAAATGTTAACTCTACAGGGATAAATAGTTCAGGGTAAAGAAACTATTTTATACACATAGAAGTGCCCATTTATATTCTTAACTCTGTTTTTCTAGTAGTAATTTTATACGGATCAGAATGTTTTGTATGTTTTGTGTTTCAGCCAGAGCTTTATAGTGTTTTCTGTTTAAATAAAATGGTTTTTAACATTTATGAACCTCTTTTTCTCTTCTTTACACTGATGCACACTGTTCAGCATTTATTTTTTACATATTATTATTATTATTATTAATAATATTGTTTACAAAGGCGCACCGTCAATCCACCACAAATTAAACAAATTTGTTTTTTTATGTTGTTTTTTTTTTGTGATAAAGTCAGCTGGATGGGGACAGTGGTGTGATGGGAAAACATGCAGTTTTCCTAATTGATTGTAGATAATATAAATATAATTTTTAAATAACGCTGCCTATCAACACTTCTAAATGTTCTTTTCAGAACAGATGCTGATGATGTTAACAGGTTTTTAAGAGTCACTGACATTAAAGCCATCTTTTAAAAACTGAAACGAGTGACTTTTATTCACCTTGAACACTTTGAAGACATTTTCTGTCTAAAGAGGAAGATTTACTGATGTAAGGGGCCACCCAGGATCATTTTTATGAATTTGTTTTTGCACTGTTGTTACATTTTTCTTTCTTTTCATAGAAACACATCAACAGGTTTGATTCAGAAGGATCCTTCACACCATCAGACGTCCACTTGGGACTCCTTGTGTCATTCAGTCAGAAAACATGAGAGGTAAAATGATCAAACAAACTTACACAACAGAACTTTTGAAGTAAAACACTGTACCTTCATTCTGCCCTCAGACTTCCACTCTTTCTGGCATTTAAACAAAATGTAACCAATAAACTGCTTTATACATACATTTTCCCAAAACAGGAAGATGACTACAGTTTAAGGATAGTAAAACCTTAAATGCATGAGAAACATTATTTTTCATGGAACTCGTTCACATCATTTCAACCACTTGAACACTGGCTTAAAAATCAGCAACAGTAAACATCTTTAGTCCTGCTTGTTGGATGTTTTCAGAAAGCCTCTAATTGTTCATATTTTAGTATTTCTGCCACCTTAATCTGTAGAGTTTTTAACTCAGTTTTAACATTTGGTTTCAGTAAAACACCCTCAGATTAGAAAGATGTCAGCATTTTGAGGAATTTGGGACAGAACTTTGTTCATCAGCTCTGCTGAATCTCAGGAGATCAGATTTTCATTATCAGATGTAATTTCAAAAACTAGTTTCCAGATGGTCCTGGTGCATCTCAGTAATCCAGGTAAAATCACACACACGACAGGCCCTGGAGCAGTGTGGTTATCCTGACTGGGCTTTCCTGAAAGCAGACAGGAAACACAGACAGGAYTCCATGCAACCTTCAGGTGAAAATGAAGACCCCAAACCCAGACCCAAACCAGTGCTTATTCCGTATGTTGCGGGTGTTTCAGAGAAACTGAGACGTTTATTTTCTAAACATGATGTCCCAGTAGCTTTCAAACCCCCAAAACACATTACGGCAAAGGCTGGTTCACCCCAAAGATCCGGTGCCCCGGCACAAACAGAGCAATGTTGTATATGCTGTTAAGTGCCAGGAGG